TATGGTAATTTTGTAAAGTTTTGTGTAAAACCTGAAGATGGTTTGGCTTCACTATGTCATATCAGATCAGAGTCCCCAAGGAAGCGTATATTGAGTTTTAATGAGGAACCTGTCTGAGAGAGATGAAGGAGATACAGGGGTGGAGAGGCAAGGCTTGGCTTTGGTAGCCTTCTGTTATCTACAAAAGGAGAATAGGAAGGAGAGGCAATCGGACAGAAAGAACCTGAGATGGTGCTGTAGCTATGGGAACCCAGAGACACGGATTTCCCCATATGGGGCAGAAGCAAGCTCTCACATCTTACGTGTCACTGTGGTTTGAATATTATAGCCGGATGTTTGGAAGGAGCTGCTCACCTCTAAGAATTCCTCTTGAAGCCTATCTGAGCTATACACCTGCAAAGCTGCCTTTTGTTTTCCCCAAGACGCAGCCCAAGTGACCCAACAGTACTTTGCTAGTTCCCATCTGACTCCTCCTGCGTGACAATAAAAAAGGATGCAGTCAGTGTGATAAATTGTGTTCACAGTCACTGCAGCAAGCATGGAGGCTGCAGCTTACATGCAGCCAATCCCTCGTGCATAGTCGTTAATTAACCAGACCCTCGTGAATACATTTTCTGGCCTTGATGGTCACAAGATTAGTCTCTTTCAGGAGAAGTTGGAACGTCTTGTGACAGCAACCTCTGTGAACCAAGATTGCTGCATGTGACATCTCAAAGTCACAAGTGAGCAAGGGAGTATCAAGAGACACCCAAAGGGCTGGAAAGATAGCTCAGCTATTAAAGGAAGAGACTCACAACCAAAACTCTAAGGAACACCCAAAACTATCGGTTACCCATGTTCCAAGTATATTTTTCTCTGCTTGGTTGGAAAAGCCATCTTCTCTGTTTTCGGGGCTCAAGGTCAATGGCTTTGTCCACTACATGGATGCTTCCTGTTTGATTTATTTGTGTGGCATTATGTGTATGTGGACTCACCTAGGCCTGCATCTGTGGAGACCGTAAGTCAATATCTGGGGTCCTCCTCTATCACTGCATCTCTCTCTCTCTCTCTCTCTCTCTCTCTCTCTCTCTCTCTCTCTCTGTCTGTCTGTGTGTGTGTGTGTGTGTGTGTGTGTGTGTCTTTCTTTTTCCTTTTTTTGGAGACAGAGTCTCCCATTAATGCTGGAGTTTACACAGACTGGCTCATGGTTGTAAAGACTGGAAAGTCCAAAATCAAAGGGCTGCATATGGTGAGGGCTTTCTGGTTTCTTTATAACTTTAACGCATCATGGGAAAAAATATCAAAGATCATAAGATGTTAAACTGCAAACCTTCAGCCCTTTTATAATGAGCATAAATCCTTTCATATGAATGAATACATTCTGATGAAATATCTATGACTGGTCTTTACTTACCATCACGGTTAAATTGGGGATTATATTTCCAACATCTGTGTGTTTTCGAGAACACAGCCAATCAACAGCAAATTGGAAACACACCCCAAACTTCTAGGGACCAGTGGTTATTTCCCCAACACACTTCACACACCATGGTACGTTTTCTCATCAAGAAGATCTCAACCACACACTACTGTAGCTATCACATGAGGTGCTTAATTTCCTACTTAAGAGAGAGGCATGCATACCCACACAATGCAATATCACTTGCAGCATCTTCCTCTTGCAGAATGTATCTCTTGTTGTAATTAGCAGAATGTAAACCAAAGCTTACACACCACATATGAACAACAGTCGTGGGGGGGGGGGGTCTTTATGTTTTAGTCATGGCTGCTTTTTCTATGTCAGAAGAACATCATAACTCAAAGTGGCTGATTGTAGAATGAAGACAGAATGTGAGCTGAAGCTACAACTAATGAACCATTGCTACTTCATGATGACCCAAATAGATCTGCCTAAGTCTGTAGCATTTTTGCCTTTCATTTATTTCTTTTGACACTTTGTAACAGCTATTCTATGATGGATACCTCTTTTTTAGGGTTCTGGATTGACAGCATTAGAAATAAATGAATGAAGTTATAAAGGCCCAAACTCATAGATTGTATTGATAGACACTGATGTAATTCTACTGTTGTGATTCTGTTACCCTTAGGATGGGATATTTTACAATAGGCATGGAGAAAAAAAAAACGAGATATGCAGCAGATTCTGAAACTAATTAAAAGCTTCAATGCATGATCTGCAGTGTCCTTTGGATTCAACACCCTGCTAAATCTCTTGCAAGAAACTGTGTCATTCTGCTTAATGCTTGCCCTTAACCTTGACTTGAACAAAGGCCTATGTACATGTAACTCACGCTCAGCCGTGTTCTCATTAGGTATGCACTGCCAGGTGAAACTAAACTCGCATCTTTATACCTGCTATTGTTTGAAGCACGCATTGTATTTCACTTGGAAGAAGTGTTACTGTGCATAACAGGATATTTATGAGCAAAAGCAGCATTACACAAAATTGTTTCATGCCGATAAATAGGTAATCCTGACACTAAGCAGCAGGGCTAATTATCTGTCTGGGAAAAGGTGCAGGCTCTATTTAGGTCAAAGGTAAGAGATAAATTGCTGCTACAATTATTTCTAGTAACTGTCTCATAAATGCCTGTGTGCATTAACACATGCATAGATCTCCCTAGGTGAGCATGTTCCTGGCACAGAAGCAGCTGTCTAAATAAATCTTTAAAGCAGCTTTTGTTCAGTGATACAACGGAAATGAGGAAGAGACACGCAGATGAAAATAATTTAAGGCAAAGCTAGAGAAAATCAAATATCTCATCTTCAAAGACATGTCATCACCAAGTGAAATCTTCCCATATGCTCTCCTCTCCCCACCACAAAGCCCATTTTCCCAGAAATTCTTAATGGTTTTTTTCCACAAAACACTCTCTGCAAGTGTCTCATTTGTGTCTTGATTGATGGTCCTGAAGCAGACACAAAATTAAAATGCACAGAAACATTAAACCGGTTGTTTCCTATCTCTATATGAAAATCCACTTAGCTGACATGCTGAAACCTCCTGAGTCTACCCTGTCCATTGCCCTGCTTTATCCTTGCTATCCATGTTACTAAGATGCCATATGCACTGTCTAAACATTAAATCCAAGAATTAATCCAGAAATGGCAGAGATAACAGTTGTGTTTGAGTAGCAAATTATTTTTGTGAGTAAATGCTAGACTCAAACTGTAAGGATCTTGTTGGGTCTTCTGGCTTTTCCCACAGTGTACATGTATGTCTCAAAAGTCAGTAGTTCAGCAGTTCAGATATTTATATCATGATTCATAACAGTAGCAAAATTACAGTTATGAAGTAGCAATGAGAATAATTTTATGGTTGGGGTCACCATATGAGGAACTGTACTAAAGGGTCACAGCATGAAGAAGGGTAAGGACCACTGCCCTGGTTGAAGATGGAAAACTTAAAGTTCTCAATATCGTTCCTATTGGAATTTGTTTTTCAAAAATTGATTTATTCATTTGTTTACATTATTTATTGGGGTTTGAAGTTGAAGTTTCATGTAAAAGAAGCGCTCTACTGTAGAGATACACTCCCCAGCCTGAAATCTTAAATTTATGATGAATATCATAACGGTATGAAAGACACAATAATAGAATTCAAATCTTACTTTAAGTTGCATCAAAAATCAAGATAAAATCAAAGTTTACTATTTCTAAATAATTCTGTATACTAGAATGGCAGATTCAACAGGCTGAGTTTCTCTTCATAAGTTCACATGTTTCAGTGAAATACAAATACTACATACATGATTTTCTTTTAGCTGTTCCTTTTAGTGGATGAGTTTGGTAGATATAGAAAGCTCCAGGAAACTCTCTCCTCTAAAAATCCACATACATATTCATGGTGTTTTCTTCATAAAGAGTCACCATTGTGTATAGTATAAATACCCTAAGAAGTATTTCCTTTGTAGTTAACTGAACTTCAAACTACATTTTACTAAATCTTTATATTTTCCCTAGTGAAACCTAAAACATATTAAATTTGAAAAGTCTTTACATCCTCAATACTTAGGATGTAGAGCCACATCAGAATGAAGTCTTTTTATACTTCCTTAAATGCTTCTTCTCTGTGAGGTGGGGCTTGCTGCTTGTTGGTACCACATTTTTTACATCATGAGATGGGGGATGTTTCTAGAAAACAAAGGACAGACAGTTCAGTCCTCAGTTTGGAAGTTGTTTCCTCATCCCTTCTTCTACTACCCTTGTTCGTTCTCCTGTCTTCCTCTATCCAACTGTCTTCCCGTCTCCCTCCTTAGATGTGTCTTTCCTTCTTCCGCCCTCCTTCCTTTTTCCTCCTGCACTCCCTTCCTCCCATCTTGCTCTATCTTCGGGTTTCATTTCTAGTCTTTTCCCTTCTTCCACTCTGCTTTCCTTTGTTCCTCTCTCCCCTGTTCTCTCTTCCTTCCTGCAGCATTATTGATCCTCCCTGTCTTTGCCTTTGTTTTTTTTTTATTCTCTCTTTCCAGTCCTTAATAACAGAACCTTTCCTGCTCATGTTTATTCCATTTTTCTCAACATATTAAGCAGACAATTTAGGGATGGTTTTGATGAAAAGAATGGTGACCATTCACTCAACAGGAACTGGTCTAGGGAATATTGTCACCAATTTTTTTGTCTACTGTTCATGCCATGAGACAAGGTTCAACTTCAAGTTCTTAAAAAAAATGAGTGGCTGAAGATAAAATCTGTTATGTAGGATTTTCTCCCACAGGATAGTAAGTCCATCGGGAAGTGAAGGTGTCTGTAGATGCACGCTAAACTTTCTGATTCTAATCAAACTGTTTTGGCTTTACTTTCAGAATTTGACTTAAAAGTATAGACTGTTTTCATGTCAATTAAGACTGGTTAAGCGTCAACCCCTTGTTAAATGATGTACTTCTTCACCAGTGAGAATGTTCACCTCTGAAAATTCTGGTAAAAAGGCTAGTGGTGTCTGTGCTTTCAAGTATTTCCTGGCTGCTTTTTCCCTCACAAGTGGTCTCTGGTTTTTCTTACAGCATAGGGGGAGAAGTAGGGCGAGGCCAGGACGCCAGCTACGCGGGCAAGCATTTCCGCATGGGGTTCATGACGATGCCTGCTCCACAGGACAGACTCCCACATCCCTGCTCCAGCGGATTCACTGTGAGATCTCAGTCCCTGCACTCCGTCGGAGGCACCGAGGACGACAGTAGCTGTGGATCCCGGAGACAGCCACCTCCCAAGCCCAAGCGAGACCCCAGCACCAAGCTTAGCACTTCATCGGAGACAGTCAACAGCACTGCAGCCAGTAAAAGTGGGAGACCTCTGGAGAGGCCAGAAGGTAAACTCACCACGCCCACTTCCCAGTCATCTCCAAGGGCTTCAGCTTCTGGGAACCTGTTTCCTTCTCCTGAGTCCCAGGAAAGAAACATTAAGGGTTGGCGGCATTATGGTGTAGTGTCAAATGACACCTGATCGTACTTAACAAGCTCAATGAGAAACCCAGATAGTTCAGGTGATACAGTTCAGTAGCGGAGGGCTTGCAGTTGCATGGGTAGGGCACCAAATTCAGTCCTCAGTTAAAAACAAAATAAAAATGGACAAGGTAATGAGTCGTCACTATGGCCCCTTTAAGGCTTTCAATCATTCAAAAATTAGTTTTGCCTAGATGTATATCTACTTTTTATATTTTCTTACTTGTATTAGTTTGCTATTTACATAGTTAAAAGACATGCTGGGTGATTTTTGGAATATTTTATGGTGGAGATTTTAATGTGGGAAATATATGAGGTAAAATTTATGATGATACTTTTTAGAAATAACCAATTTTTACATCATTTCCTTCCTTGTGTATAAGTAGCAGCTAAGTAGTTCACTCTCTGCTTTGTAAATCTTATTTCTTCCTTTATAGTAATTTTTCCCTCAGCTATGAGATACACAAATCAAACATAGCCACTGTGGATATATGAATACAAATTTGGCCTAATATCTCACAAATCCGTTAGTTCTTCTTGAATAAGGAAGCCAGTGGCTTACTTGAGCATTTCCCCAAAGCTTCTTGGTTGAAGTGGCTTACAAGGTGAGGTTTGACACAGCTGTCAAACTGCCTTTGGCTGGCTGGTTTACGAAGAGTGGCAATTCATTTCTCCTGCTCTGCTTAAAAGCTCAGGAGCCAATATGATCTTTTATTATTATTATTATTCTAATTTCTTACTTTTATTGGTTTCACTGTTTTATTTGTTTATGTTTATGTATTTTTAATAAATAGTTTTTTATTATTAATTATTTATTAAAGATTTCTGCCTCCTCCCTGCCACCGCCTCCCATTTCCCTCCCCCTCCCCCGATCAAGTCTCCCTCCCTCGTCAGCCCAAAGAGCAATCAGGGTTCCCTGACCTGTGGGAAGTCCAAGGACCACCCACCTCCTTCCAGGTCTAGTAAGGTGAGCATCCAAACTGCCTAGGCTCCCACAAAGCCAGTACCTGCAGTAGGATCAAAAACCTATTGCCATTGTTCTTGAGTTCTCAGTAGTCCTTATTGTCCGCTATGTTCAGCGAGTCCGGTTTTATCCCATGCTTTTTCAGACCCAGGCCAGCTGGCCTTGATGAGTTCCCGATAGAATATCCCCATTGTCTCAGTGTGTGGGTGCACCCCTTGCGGTCCTGAGTTCCTTGTTCGTGCAAGACCAGGTGAACGTTCCAATGTGATCTTGAAATAGAGCTCCCCTCAAGGCTTTGGAATCGTGTCCTTGGATATTTTTGCCTTGTATGACGTGGCACTGAGTCTAAGAATATTAAATAATCTTGTCTATGAAAGCTCTGACCTTGGAGCCTTGTTACCTTCCCAAGTCACCATGTTACCTCCCCAAAACCATCATACTGAACTTATGTTTTTAACACATTAATTTTGGGGAACACAGCATTGCGCCCCTTGCTTCAAACTATTTGAGAGTTTGTGTGTCAGCTGTGAGGCATGCTTCAAGGTCTCCAATGCAGCCAGTGGTAAGTCAACAGCAGACATTTGCCTAGCCCTGTGGTCTTTCTTCTACCCTGCCCATGCCTGAGTTTGTAGCTTCCCTGAACAGCAGAGTACCACATTTTAGGTCTGTTTGTAATGAGAGGAAACTGTGGCATCTTATTTTCATCTGATAATTCTTTGCCACATGAGACTTCCAGTTCTTCCCAAAGGTTCTGGCATGTCTCTTGGCCCAGGAGCTCACATGCGGTCTGAGAGATAAGATACCTGTGGGTAGCATGTCATCTTTTCCTCCACTCTGTTCACAGCTTTCTCCTTCTGGCTGCCCAAACATAATCTCAGTGAATTGTTAAATCGTGTAGACCAATGCCTGGAAAAAGAATCCTTTAATTTTAAAAAAGACGGTTTCCCTCTTTAATATAATATTCTGTTTGTTCACTCCTAGAGTTTGTATCCCTTTTCTCATGATTCTGAGCAAGAAGTGTGTCCCGCACCTTGTGCACAGCATGTTTATGCTTTTAGAAGCAACAGATGTTTAGTTTCTTTATTAATACGAGCTGGGGGATGGGACTTTTACAAATTTTAAACATTGTCCCTAAGTTTCATCAAATATTTAATCACAGTGTCTTTCATTTCTCTTTATTCTGTGTGATCCTATGTCTACATTCAACTATCCTGTTTTTCTACTTTTATAACTACATAATCGATTATACTAGGTTGCTTGCCAAAGAAAATTAAAGAGTCAAGACAAGAATCTCTGAGTGACAAGGCCTAAACATAGTCCAGAGTTATTCAAAAAATTAAATAAGGTGTACATGATGGGGCATGTGCACTCATAGCATTTTGGAGACTTAGACGGGGAGACCACAAGTTCAAGCCAAGCCTTGAAAATAGAAAATTCCAAGACAATTTAGGCTGCAGAGATGGAAAGGGCTGTGCCACACATTCATGTGTGCCACACATCCAACTACAAAAGGACCGCAGTACACATACATCGGAGAAGCCCTGCTAAGAGACGGGGAAGGTGGCATACACAGAGTAAAACTAGGAGCACAGTCGTGAGCACCTGCTCTTTGAAGCAATACCTGTATGACTGTCAATCACCTTGAAATGGAACACATCTACATCCACTTGGAACGCATTGAATGACCAGATCCTGAAAACCAACATTCTCTCTCAGGTAGCTTCACTGACTAAGCATCAAGGGTTCCTCAGGGATAGTTATCAAACAGAGAATAGCCCATTAGCAACTGTTTTTGTTTCTTAAGGCAGACATGAGAAAGTGACTCGGTTTCTCTGGTAAGGACTTAAGTTAGAAAGTTAGACATAAAAGTTACTTGAGGGGGTCTGTGACTTACAGACCACTAAGCCCAAATTCAATATTTCTCTTCAGAAAGGATCTCTCAGGATGGACTGGAAAACCCTCAGCTGTGTGGGTGATGATGCTTTAAATCCAATAAATGGCAAAACAGCATTTGCTATGCAAATTTACCTTTCTCTTTGGAGCTCATAAGAAAGGAACAATTGCAAAGCCATATGCACCCAATGGTCTTCTATAAGTTAATAGAATAGTAAGGGCAGGGTTGAATCAGGGCCAAGTTGAGAGATGGAAGGAAAACTCTTGAGTCCAAGAGCGTGTGCACATATATCCATACTCAAATTTCACATTATTTATATATGTAGGCTGATATTTTATGAATCCTCAGTTCTTAATTATCAGGATCTCATTGGGGCTTTTTGTAGAGCCCATGTTTTCTTTACCAACTCTGTGTTGTCAACATTCTAACAGAAGAAAATGTGACTTTTATACATCTTAGCCTGTCTTTTCTTCTTACCTGAAATGTCAGCAAAATCACAATATTGATTCAGGGGCCTTAGAATGATTTCCATGGTAACCAGCTGCTATTTAAAGAGAGGATTATGATTTCCTTGTGAATAAAAGTAAAAGGAAGTGGACTCAAGCAAAAATAGCTCTTCAGAATTAAGAAAAGGAATGAAATTTGAACACACAAAAATCACAGAATGCAAAGAGTAAGCTTTGGTATTTAAATGTTGTTCTATCACATTCAAATATACATTAGCCATTTGAGAAGGCTCTTCTACCATCGTAATCCCTCTAGAAGTTTTCCACTGTCTACCATAAACTGGCAATTATCCAACTACAAATATTTATATGGTTGGGGTTTTTGTTTGTTTGCTTGCTTGCTTGCTTGTTTTTGTCTCTGGGGAGTTTGTTTTTGTCACGGAATAAAAGAAAAAGAGTTCTCTAGGAAGAACAACAGGTCATATGAGCTGCTTCTTGTGAGTCATTCAACCAAAGAAGCAGCAATTCAGTTTCCCCCTCTGTCATTATCCTGTCTTTAGAGAACAAACTCCTCTTTAAATACAGTAAGAGAAACACTGCCTGGAAACAGTCAAGAGATTGCTCACAGAATCAAGAGGCAAGTGCCAAACAAGATTTCTTTTTGCAAACTTTGAGATAACATCTATGGTACCTAAATATAAATGGTAACTTTCCTCCCTCATAGCTTTATGATGACTTGACGTGTCAATGTTAGTGGTGTATATGATGAAAATAAATTGCTAAAGGAATATAAGCTTAATACAATATTAAATGTCATTAATAATTTTTCCATCACAGATATCCGAAACAACTATGGAAGGGAAAGACAGGATGCATTCCCTGGAGATGAGGATGGTTGTGAGTGAATTTGTGGGTGCAAGAAACTAAACCTGGCTTCTCAGAAAGAGCAGCACATGCTCTTAAACACTGAGCCATATCTCCAGCCCAGAGTTAATGTTTTCACCATGAAAAGCTATGTTAAGTCATCCAAATCAGTCATTTCAATTTAGCTATCATACAATATATTCATATTAAAAATCTGCACAGTAAGATGACAAAGTGGAAATCTTTTTATTCATTCAATTTTCATTTTATGAGTATAAGTTTTTGCCTGCCTGTATGTGTGTATAGCATGTGCATGCCCAGTGCCATAGAGATCAGAAGACAGCACTGGATTACTCGGACCTAGAGCTATAGACACTCATGAGTTGCCATGTGGATGCTGGGAAGAAACCTGGAGCTTTTGCAAGAGCAACCAGTACTCCTAACTACTGATTCATCCCTCCAATCCCAGGCCTAAAATAATTTGAATGTTAAAATAATAATAATAAAAATAATATATATATATATGTATATATATATATGGATGATAATCTACTTGTAATACTCAGATATTAATATACATCCCCCAGGACTATTTCTTTACAAAACAATGAGAAACTATTTTTTTGAATTATTATAATCATACCAGTTTCTAATGCCCTCTTTCAGAAATGATTAGTGGAATTTAATTTAATTTATTTA